GGGTAAGGCCAAAGGGGCGACTTGGGTTGCAGGAGGCAGCCCATGGGTAGGTAGAGGCAGCGGTCCAAATCCCTTTGCCTGTGATGAATGGCTTATACTGCAGTCTGCCCCAGTGAACGGGGGCTAGATGGAGACTGGGCAGTTGCCAAGACTGAGGTGAAGTGAGGATGGTGTGTGAGGGTTCCCCTGGGAGGGGGAGACCCAGAACTGTGAGGCTACTGCCAAGGGGCAGCACCCAGAGAAAGGGGCACAAGGGTCCTGAGAAGGACACGGGGTCAGTGGCAAGGCGGATCACCAGCCTGCAGGGGGTGCTCCGGGAATTAGCTCCTCTAGCATCCTGGAAGAGACCAGCAGGAGGCGCCGCAGGGATGAGTCCTACACTGCCCCACAATCCTGACATTAGGCCTTGATGTATCTTCCAGGTGTAGGCTGTTACGATAAAATGTCATTTACAGAAATTGTAAAATTAGTCAATAGAATTTCTGGGAAAAGCACTTTACTGTAAAATTTATTCTGGTGATGCTACGACCTGGTGTCTGAATTTGAGATTGCAATTTTACTCAGAAAAGTGACTGAAAAAATAGTATTGGGGGAGTTTTATTTGTGTCTCAATTTTTTTATTCATATACTCAGTTTACAGATAAAGTTCTGCTTTGTTTTAATAACTGCTACCACTGTAAACTCAGTCTGAGAATTAAGTGCTAAACTGTATTTATTAGCTTTCAACTGGAATCAAGTTTCTTCAAATCAAATTATGATCTCCCACACCCCTGTGTAATCTTCTGTTATCAGTAGGATTGCACAAATGTGACTGACTGGAACTTTGGTAATAATTCTGTTGATGATGCACATGTAATCCTTCTGTCAGGTGGAGCTGGCAACAAGAAGGGCTGGGTTCATTATCTAGGAGTTCCTCTTGACAATACAAAACAGAACGGACTTCAGCTCCCACCCAGTAATCTGGGAAAATTTAACACCACCCCTCGCCGTGTCTAAGAAGCATTACTTCCCTACTCCCAAACACGGAGGATTTATCTACACTATAAAATTAGGTCAACTTCATTTAGGTTGACCTATAGCCACCGGAGCAATTAAATGAGCTGTCATTATTCACACTAGCCTCCAGGGGCAGCGCGTGACTCCTCCATTTGGGGAGGCTGTGCACGCCCGGACCGTGGCCCTGCCTCAAGGACCACCCCCGCTCACTCTCTTTCCTCCCCCCACCCCTCGAAGTCCTGCCCTGGCTCCACCCCCAGTTCCGCTTGGCCCCCTATGCCTGCCGTTTGTGCCTCTTCACCCCCTCCTGCAGGCCCCCCTCCCACTGGCCAGCTGGCTGGCCACTCAGGTTTTTTCCCCTTCACTAATTTGTATTTAGTTTTTGTAGATACTGCCAGACTGAAACAGGCACCCTTAATCTTTTCTTGGCTGTCACGTGATTAAGCAGGAATTTGAAAGAAGGAGTGTCCTCTTACCAGTCATAGAGGTGTGAAATTAAATTAAGGGGCTGTGAATTCCCCTTCACCAAAACTAGTTCATCCTCTGAAGGTCTGATTGGTGGGGGAACAAGGAAACAGGAATTGGGCAAAGAGATATCAGAAAATTCTTATCCAACTTCCTGTGGCAAGGTCTCCAGGGCAGAAGAGGGAGAAGGATGCAGGGGTGTGAACACCAGGTGGTTGCCACTGCTGCAGGGATACAGCAGGACAAGAGTCAGCTCTGGGTTGGGCCTTGAGCATGTGGCTGCAGTGAGCCTGCACCATCCTGTACCTGAGACTCAGCCAGAGCCACAAAAGGAAGAAGAACCCAGATTGATGATTGAGAGGGGTGGTGTGGGGTAGATGTGCCCTGTGTGGTTGGGTGGCACAGGTCTGTAATTGCAGCTGTAGAGGGAGAGCAAGAAGCAGGACTGTCACAAACTTCTGATCAGTGGATGTAACAGGGAAATCTTGAGTAGGAGTAGAGAGGCTATTTTACCTCTGTATGTGGACCTGGTGCAACCGCTGCAACAGTTCAAGAAGGATGGTGAGAGGGTTCGGAGACAAGAATGATTAAAGGACAAGAAAACATGCCCACCACTGCCCTATAGTGACAGACTCACAGGACTCACTCTATTTAGTGTAACAAAAAGAAGGTTAAGGGGTGATTTGATCACAGTCTGTAAGTACCTACATGGGAACAAATTTGATAATGGGCTCTTCAGTCTAGCAGACAAAGATATAACAAGATCTAGTGTCTGGAAATGAAGCTAGACATACTCAATTTTTTGTTTTTAACAGTGCCGGTAATTAACCATTGGAATGATTTACCAAGGATTATGGTGGATTCTCTATCCTTGACGATTTTAAAATAAAAATTAGATTGTTTTTTAAAGAGCTATGCTGTAGTTCAAACAGAAATATTTTGGGGGAAGTTCTATGGACTGGGTTATACAGGAGGTCAGATTCGATGACCACAATGGTCCTTTCTGGCCTTGGAGTCTATGACCCCACAGCTGAGGGGTTGATGAGAGGACCAGATGCCGGGGGAAGCCAAGACACAGCAGAGAAGTCTGGGCCAGTACTGGAACTGTGTCAGTGGGTGCCAAATACAGCAGAGTCCAGACTTGGCATGTGTGTTTGAATTGTTCAGAGACAAGCTGGGGTGGTTTGGATTCTGAAGAACACAAGCCAAAATAGGGAAAGATCATGTTAAAGAATAGTTAGTTGTATTCAAGTCATCAGGGCCTGATGAAATTCATCTTAGGGTGCTTTAGGAACTAGCTAAATGAATCTTGGAACTGTTAGCAATTATCTTCAAGAACTCTTGGAGGATGGGTGAGGTCCCAGAAGTGGGGTCGGATTTACACCTTATGCACTCTTAGGCTCTGCATCTTCAGCACACACCCCTTCCCCACCTACAGCTGACCTTCATGTTTTCTGTAAAAAAAATAAACTTTTAACCCACTTTTAACTTTTAGGCACCCGTAGAATGCCGGCACCCCCAGACATGTGCCTAATTGGAAATCCAGCCCTGCTCAGAAGACTCGAGAATGGCAAACATAGTACCTGTGTTTAAAAAGGGGAATGAATTGGACCCAGCGAATTATAGACCAGTCAGCCTAACTTTGATACCTGGAAATTATTAATCAATTTGTAAGCACCTAGAGAAAAATAGGGTAATAAGTAAGAGCCAACATGGATTTGCCAAGAACAAATAATGCCAAACCAACCTAATTTCTTTATTTGACAGGGTTACTGGCCTGTGAATAGGGGAAGCAGTAGTTGTGATATATCTTGATTTTTGGTAAGGCTTTTGACACAATCCCACATGACATTCTCTTAAGCAAACTATGGAAATGTGGTCTAGATGAAATTACTATAAGGTGGGTGCACAACTGGTTGAAAGACCATACCCAAGTAGTAGTTATAAAGGGTTTGCTGTCAGTTTGGGAGGGAAGAATCTAATGTGGTCCTGCAAAGGTCTATCCTGTATCCAATACTAGTCAATATTTTCATTAATGACTTGGCTAATGGGGTGGAGAGTATGCTTTTAAAATGTGAAGATGACACCAAGCTGGGAAGGTTTGCAAGCACTTTGGAGTACAGGGTTAGAATTCAAAATGACCTTTACAAATTAGAGAGTTGGTCTGAAATGAACAAGGTGATATTCAACAAAGGTAAGTGCAAAGTACTTCACTTAGGAAGGAAAAATCAAATGCACAACTATAAAATGGAAAACAACTGGTGAGGCAGTAATACTGCTGAAAAGAACCTGGTGATTATAGTGGATCACAAATTGAATATGAGTCAACAATGTGATGCAGTTGTGAAAAAGGCTAACATTCTGGGATGTATGTAAGACATGGGAGGTA